TGGTTGTATACATTGCAGGATTTTTGCACGCGCAAAGGAAGTCTAAAGAGCCAGTTGATTGTTGCACATAATCCTAACCTATCACACGCTCTTGCAAGCCACACAGGTTTTGTATGACGGTAACTCATGGTCTTGCGCAATGTTCAGGCTTATAAATCGTGAAAAACTTCCCAAGCGATGTCATATTTTTATTCGTGTTTCTGTCTCTGTGAATTGTGGGAAACCTGGACCCAATGCTTTTGGCAATAGCCAACTTACTCCGGTCAATCAAAGCCAACTCTTTGGGGGAGGCGATGTTGTGGGGGGAAATTTCTCCCACTGCCTTACCCTCGCGGCAATATTCTCCCGTATGTAGTCAAATGCGACAGGTTAAACACTAGAAAATTTAGTCAAGAGTGGTGGCACGTACAGTCGCCAACGAACAGCCTGGGTTCGGCTTGCGTGATGTCCCACAGCAGGGGCGGAATCCGCCGGCTAGAAAGGATCACACACGCGCGTACCTCCTGGCATGAAGAACGACGAGGCATGGGGTGACGGTGCTCACATGCGCTACCAAAAACGTCACGCAGGGCAGGTGCGTCTGGCAACGTGACTGTGCAGTTGGCCGCTGAGCCGCGACTGCGCCGTGTGACGGCGTTCCGTGGACACACCAGCCGCGGGCGCATGAACGATTACGCCACGAGGAAGAAGACCACCACACATACATAAGACAACTCTACGAGTACATATGTAAAGTCTTCGCTAGCGCGATAACGTTGTTCACGCAGCAAACGGGAGGGGAGGGGGACGGCTGAAGCGGGAGAGGGACGGAGGAGAAGAAATCTCCCCAGACTCGGAACGCTTGACACTGATCCTAGGGGACGTGCATGAAAAGCGGCGAGGTGAGAACCGCTTTTGCCCACATCCTCTCTCTTCCCCCCTCGGTCAGGGATCAGCTGGGGCTGAATGGTGTATACTTTTGGCGTTTTGAGTTCTTATTTAATTTATCATCGTGCATCAAAAGATGCTAGAGGCCTAGAGGGAGGTCAGTAAAGGAGTATTACAGAACGTGGGGAGATGAACTTCGGCCATACGCACCACGGTTGGGGATGAAAACGGAGTTTGTTTCTCAGCCATGTCTGGAAGGTGTTTTAAACAGGCATCAAAGCTGTCACCGAGTCATCGCGGACAGTGTTTTTAACCTTCTGTAAACACGCGACCTACCAATGGCCACACAGTCACCAAAATCATAGCATAGTCTTGAATGACACCCCTTCGAATGTTTGGGACTCCTCTTACAAAAAGCCTCCTCATACCCCTCACTCACATCATCGAAGAATGCCTTCATCATAACTCATCACGGAAGGCGATGAGTTGAGAACGTATAGGCACCGACTCTTGTCTCCCACGCTGCTTGCGAACGCAAAACCCCGCCTCCTCACCATCTTCGCAAGGAAGCGCGAACGCCTGATTGGTCATATATCACGTGGTCTTCGCGTCATGGCTGGGGAGGCTGTGATTGGCTGTATGTCACTTAATCACTTGTAATACCAGGCTGCCCGCAACTGTTGGGACCGTCCCATTGGTTGTTGCTGTCCATTATGCAATGCCGCCACCAGATGTTGCTTTGCCGCTGTTGAATAGCTCCTTCGGCTTAAGAGAGCGTCAATAGTAACTAGCACTACAGAAATGCAACTACGAGGAACCTTGAAGGTTGCATTCGTGCCAAATTTTTACACAATTGGCTTGTGTTCCCTCATTCATATCCATGTTACGGGCCTTTTGTATATTTCCTAACGTCTAACAAATAAAATGTTCTATGTAATGTATCATTATTTACCTTCCATAGGGTCCATGTGAATGACATCGACGCAGACGAACAAAAGCAATCTGCGCGGAGCATTAGTAAAATCGCGCAAGGATGGCTATCTTTCCAAGTTTTCTTGCAAAAACGTATTGCCTTTCCATGGGCGACACGGCACTCCAAATGTAAAGCTTAACATGGGATCCTGCGCGCCTATTCCTTCCCACTCATACTGCACCCACACTTGCGGCTTCTTTCAGCATGTGCTGCTGTGATCCGTCCACCAAGAACATGTTGACACAAGAGCAACGCGATAGAAAACTTGCAGAAACTCCGCGCCGACTAAGTGTCGTTTTTCTTCGCCCCGGGCGCTTAGCAGTACATCATCCATCCTGCGTCGCTGCGGTTCGCCGAGCGTCTCTCGGGTTCCCGCGGTGGCTGTAATTGAGGTCATGCCAATGCGTCTTTGTTTACCATCGAGGGCGGCTAGGAGCCGTGAGCTTGACTGGGGCGCCACATGCGGTCTCCAACTATTGGAACACGCCGCGCCAGAGGGTCTCGTTGTTTGACCCGGTTCTGTGGCGGCCGGAGTTATGACGGTAAAAGATGGCTGGCTCGGGCGTCTGTGGGCCGCACGCCGAGACGTCTGAGGCGGGGCCAGCAGGGGTCAAGGCTGTCGCCCGGTGTGACCCGGCCAACACGATACCAGTGACCCTGTCAGCCGACCGGCTCCAGTTCGTGCGATATCTAGGCAGATAGCGTTCCGGGCGGGCTATCGACGTGACACGATTCTGACACGGCAAACGGCTGCCTGCACCAGCTGGTGCGGGGCCTGCCACAGGGTATACGGCATGTGCCTCCCGACCCTCATGACATCTGCTCCCCGAAATCTCTTGGCATTTGCTCGCTCCCTGGAAGTTCATGGCATATGCTCCCGGGTCCTCACGATGTGCCGGACACGGCGGCAGAACCGGCCACCGAAGACCTGGTGCTGGAGCTGGAGATGCTGGGAACTCGTCTCGCGGGCCAGCGCAAGACATCAAGACAATAGACAATAGACAGCAGATTATTCTGTGGTGAATGCGGATGATCTATCGAACCAAGCGCCCTTAGTATGCCTCGATTTAAGTTTTGTGCGCGCGTCCACCCGTCTACTTTTTCGGACTCGCCTGCCCCCCCCCCCCCACGACCACCCCCCTCGGCTTCGGACCTGTCTTCACTTCAAATTGCCCACTGCTTATAAGTGATGAGCTTTGAAAATACCAGATAAGTATTTTTGCTTTTTCCTGCCCTGGTAATTGGCTGAAGTGCGCATGCTGAAGGTTTGGTCGGTCGAAAATGTGAAAGTTTCATTCAAACGCACTCACACTAGGTTGCGCCGGACACCCTAAACAAGCAAATAAAGCGGACAAGACAACAGCACGTGGTGCTGTTTGCGTCATGGAAGCTCTCAGTAGGCGTTAAACTTAACTGCATGTGAACGTTCCACTTGACATGCTGAATGGGCAGCTATTTTAAGCCATTCATTTGCACCGGTTTCCGTCATGAATTTGGGAGGACTTCAGCTACCCTGTTTCGGTAAATCACGGGCATCGATCGTCCCAAACACAGCCAACCTACCTGCAGCTGTGACAACACGAGCTCGTGTCTGAACGGCGACCCCCAGGCGCATTGCCGGCATCACCAGGCCCAACCGCCGAAGCCAATTGTAGACCTGACGCGGGCGCACCGGCCAGCTCGCGCCCGCGGGATGACGCGCGGTTGGCAGCGCGCCAGATGCCGGGTCGCGAGACCGAAGCCCGAACCCGAGCACCGCACAATCATTTCCCGGAGCCTTTTGTGACAGCTGATGTAAGATATTGTGTTAGTGGTCATGGCGGTCATATCCGTCCACGATTGAACCACATGCTATGCAATTTTATAAGAATATTTATGAGTACCGGTTTATATTCTAATTATCCGCTTGTCAAACGGACTATCGTAGCCTCATTTGTATGCTGCTGTTGTCATCGTTCCTGTTCACCATACCTGAACGGAAGTTTGCCTCCGGAATGGATGTGCCCTACCGATGTATGGTATAAGGACATGGGCAACTTTTATGCTAAATGGTTTCTCGGCTTGCTTCGCTTACGAACACGTTGCGGACGTGGCATAGACAATTACGGACATCCGTATGGCAACTGATCCCTTACATGGATTAAGCAACCGAGCTTGAGCATGCCTCAGGATGGCTCCCTTTGACATGACGCTATTCAGTTTCCTTCAGTGGTTTGCCTTGCTCTACGTATTATTGCTAACTTGTAATTTGTGCGTCAATGACTTGGAGCAAAACTATGGAACTACGTAAGTTATTCAGTGCATAAGCGAGGGACATATTCAGATAGATAAGACAGCAGTAATAGCCTCGGAGGAAAACTAGGAGAATGGAGATATAGCTGGGTTGATGTTTCTGCAACATGCCTTTGTCGAAACAATACCAGATGTTATTCTGCTGTTGCTTCGATAAAGGCATGTTGCCGAAATATCAACTCAGCTATATCTCCATTCTCCTGGTTGTTCTCCGAGGAATAAGGCTATTACTACTGTCTTATCTACGCAAATCATGTAATGGCCTATGGCAGCTATGCATGACAAAAAGCTAATGAATCAGCCAGGGAAAGCCTGGTATATGCAAATCGTGTATTTTATGTAAGACACTTCGAGGCAGTCCGAGGAAGTCAGGCAAAAAATGCCGTTTATCATGCAGTGGTCCATACAGCAGCAACACACAGCACAACACTCAGTCTCGCACTTCTCCGAATACATATACAGCAGTCAACTTCCTCGCGTCCTGAAAGACAGTGGCGACAGCTAAGGCGCTTAAAGCCTGTCTAAGAAGTGGTGCGAGCCGAAGTATTGAGACCAGCCAACTAAAAAAGACCAGGACGTAGTCAAATCAGGAGAACCACTATCCCTGCCAGCTGCTGGGCAGACGGACTCCGACTAGATGACAGACAATGAAATCCGGCAGCGATGTCTGCAGACGGGAGAGAGCCTTGTGGCGAAGAGCGGAACAAGTTTAGAAGCCGAGCACACCGGACTCCGAGCGAAAATGTAGGGCTCAAAGACGCCATCATCCAAACCCACAGAAATGCACACTCTTCATTCACTTCATGCACAGCACACCCTAGTCTCGCCCCGCACAGTCATGTCACTCCAGCCCCGGACAGTCCGCCCCTCAGGCGTACGCGGGCACCGGCTTGTACGGGCCGTAGGCGGGCTTATAGGCCGGCTTATAGGCCGGCTTGTATGGCTGCGGGTGGTAGGCGGGCTTGGGCGCGTAGGCGGGAGCGTGGTGGGCCTCTCCCTCGTAAGCGACTTCGGCGTTGTAGCCGTAGTCGTCGGCCACGTAGCTGACGATCTGGACCCGGCCGTCCGGCAGGCTGACCTTGTAGGAGCCCTTGGTGGCGTAGCCGTCCCGCTCCTCCTGGTGGCCGAAGTTGGTGCCCGTGTAGTGGTCTGACACGGCGTACCCGAAGGCGTAGGCGGTCGGCTCCTGAAGCGGAGGCGCCGTTGGGAGCGGAACGCGGTACACCGATACACCGTCAGCACACCGGTACACCGGCGGTACACCGGTACGTCGGTCGATCGGCAGACATCCGGCGGTCGTGCGAGCTGAGGCGCCGAGAACTATTGCTCGTCGCCGGACACGAGGGATGGAATAGTTAACGTCGCTATAGTGGATTATGGCACTGCCCCTTTCTCTTTGTATGGAGGGTGGGATAAAAATATCCAAAGTAGGACGCTACACGAACAGTGTGGCCAGGACACTGGATAAGTTATTGGGTGTGGTGCTTAGTTGCATTGCATAAGATAACCACCTAAGTTACATTAATTCCCATACCATGCAATTCAGAGCCGCGCCGTCACGCCATGAGCAATGGCGTTAAAGAATCGGCACCACTAAAATTGCCTTGCAGTTTATGCTGTTAGACCAAGCAGACCATTGCGATATTAAAGAGCGATTATCCAACGCCACGAAACGCCGAACAGGTGAAATATGGCACACGTCTGCGCTTTAGTTCCAGTCGTGACCAGATGGACTGAAATGTGCAATACCAAAAGCGGCTTTATTCTTTGCTTGCCTTCCAATAGGTTTGTGTAAGCCTTCGCCGGCAAATAAGACTAGAGACTCCCCGGAGTCTTACTAAAATGACTTAAGAGCAAATATACATGCACTGCTGAGCTTTTCCACAAATGCGTTTTCAAGATTCGCTTCACCTGTGGAAAATAAAGATCGTGCTGGGACAACCGAAAACATCAAATTTCCGAAAGTGTATCTGTCTTAAGAGGCTTTTCCTGTGTTGAACACCATCATCGTATAGTATTGCCGCCGTTTGTTTCGCTTGCGTGCCATGCTTAGATATCTAGATACTGGGATGGGGTCTCCGCAAGAGAGACAGGGCCATGTGACCTGATGTGACACGTCACAGGTCCCCCCCCCCCGCCACTGACGGGTTGCTATCATTGCATGACCCGGCGTGCCAACGGGCTATGCAGCACCGCTGGCTTCGTCATTGGCATCCGTAGTTTGGCACATGTCCATCAATTTTACCTCATTGACTGGGCTTGACCGATGGGATGTCACTGATAGTGATGCTCAGCAAAACGATGCGGTCTTACACCAGCTATTCACAGTCGTTTGGGTTCGGCTCCGGCGTGTTTAGCTTTCGAGATAGCAGGTTGTGCCAGGGGCCGTCGATTGTTGAAGGGGGAGGGGGGGGGGGAGTGGGGAGATCATTCGGTGAAGCTCAGACCATTGCACCGTGAAAAGAAAGCAAAAATGAGTTAGATGGGCTAGCCTTAGGCTTCTACATCCTAGCTCAAAGCCTATTTTTGGGTGGACCTTTAACCCTCATCCTGATGGGGAAGATGCCGATGTGATCCCCTAGCAGAATGCCTCCTCGACACGTCATGCAATTGCTCACAAATTTTCAAATGCCTGTGGGGTATCCATTGCACGTGTTTTGACACCATAGAACACGCCCTAGGATTTTTATTTTCGGAGCAGTGGTGGTTTTTGCGGAACACCGCACGGCGATCCACAACCTGCACAGGCGGAGGGTGGTAACCGACCCGAGATGCCATTTTCTGGAATTTCTTTTCGAAAGTACAATGCAAAGTCCAAGGATGGACTAGCTGCTCGTCCAAACGAAGTCCAAAAAATCAAGTTGTCTAAAAATTTACAGTTATTTAAACATCATATAACCACTGCCTAAGCTCAATGATCCCAGGCATTACTCGTCTCGCGTCATTCTCTTCCTCGAAAGGCATGAAAAGAAAGAAAATTGATCGTGGATAAGTTATAGGTACCACGACTTTTGTGAAGATATCCACAGTTCCAGGACGACACAAAGAAATCGGTTGCTTAAAATAACCCAAAGATATTCGTCCTTATCCATCCAACTTCCGAATTGGATTGGCACCTTTTGGTATTCCAAAAATTTGGAATCCGATCGGCATCCCTACATCCGACGATGCCGTGAAACGCCCGCAGTGACCGACGTTGTTACCTTAATGGAGCCACGCATCATACAAATATGGTCAATACACATAAAACCATGCTCCACTGTACTGAGAATTAACAAGAAATTCACCTGTTTAGATGTCAAGCCCCAAACAGAAAATACGCATGTTTGGGTTTCAAGCCTTTACAATACATGATATTGTTCATGTGAGGTGCAAAGGTAAAAAAGTTCGATTTCGCCACAATTTGGCAGTTGATCTGGCATAATAGGGTCAATCATTCACCTAAACGCAGATAACTTATTACGAGCCGCCAGACCTTGTTGAGACCAACCGACTGCTCCTTTTTGCCAAGCTCTATCCTTCGGAGTTTGGAAACGACTGGGGATCGCATCCTTCCTCTTCAGTCCGCATTATGAAAACGGTGAATCAGGGCGACTGTCAATCATACAGTGTTATACAGGCTTACCCACCTCAGAGCAGCCGGACATGGCGTGCAACGCCCAATTCTCGAGATCGCGCGAGCGTCCCTCACAGTCCGACACTCCCACTCCGCGATCAACTTACATGACTGTAATCATCGTAATGCTCCGGCTTGTACGCGGGCTTGTAGGCAGGCTTGTAGGCAGGCTTGTAGGCGGGCTTGTAGGCAGGCTTGTAAACAGGCTTGTAGGGCGCCGGCTTGTAGGGGACGGGCTTATAGGGGACGGGTTTGTAGGCTGGTCTATAGGGCCCGTAGGCGGGCTGGTAAGGCCGGCCGCGGTACAAAGTATCCGCGGACACCACTGCCCATAGGGCCAACATCGTGATGCAAATCTGCAAAACAAAGCGGCACGACAAGCATTACAAGCGACCAGTGCTACGTGTGCAATGGAATGTCTTAGCTGGAGCTTTTTGGCCGAAGCGATGACAAGGTAAGACAATCTATGGCTTTTGGGATGATGGTTGTTATCTGCAAAGCAACGCTGTTTCTAAAAAAAAATGCGTGGACGTAGATGCAGTTTTTGGCAGCGGCACGGGCATTCGCACTCAGCTGGAGAGCCAAAATGCATTAAATATTTACCACGGAACAGCATCGGGCGAATACAAAATCTTCCCTCCCGAGTTGGAGGAGCATACGCTGACTTTTATGAAACGGGCTGGTAAGGCCGGCCGCGGTACAAAGTATCCGCGGACACCACTGCCCATAGGGCCAACATCGTGATGCAAATCTGCAAAACTGCAAATGCATATTCTGACTTTTATGAAACTTGGGAAACCGCCATCTCCATTTTCCTCCCCTTCCCTTGGTCGCCGTGTCCTTTATATTTGAAAGGATACATTTAAGATGCCAACATTGCTCAACACAGGACTGCTTCAAGAAAATCCACTGCGTGCCAAAATAATTTAACAGGCTTTCAACAGTCGCAAGTGTGACGGGGTGTCATAGAATGCACTGGGAAGCCCAGATTCTCAAATTAAGTATGCGCTGCACGGTGTCTTTAATGTTTCGTAGCGATTTCTTGGGTGCTTTGGGCATAACATTGGGTCCAGAAGCAAGCGTTGGGGAAAACGACCCACGGCACCCCAAACAGACGCGAAGCTCCAACCATGGCTGCCAGTCTTTTTGTTGCAATTTTCTACGCACGTGAGGCTTGAAACCTCTCGCCAGCGCTTGTCCCGTTTTTGGAAGGGGTTTTAGCCACACAAGAATAAACGATAGCGTTACCGCCGCTCCACGCGTGATGCGCTGCAAAACAAATTGACACCAAAACACGCAGTTACACAAATATAAAGACCCAAAAATTATATATGTACACAAAGCGTGGTTATCACATGTGGGCGCACGCAGCGCGCTCTTCGAAGGCCCAGTTTCAGCCGGCGCTACCAACATTCACACCGCTGCCTGGTCCGGAGACCTCAGTTTAGACCCCCGGCTCTAGTGTTGCCCCGGTTGGGTGCTCGGGTGGCGGCCGCACGCCGCCACCATGTCCTACCTTGGCGAGCATGACTCCGGTGCGTGGTGACCCGTTACTGTGGCGAGGCCTGGCGGCGGTGCGGCTTTATAGTAGGCCCGCCGGGCCGCGCCGCCGGCTGCCGTACCAAGGTGAAGGTCACGCCCGCCCGGCCGCCGGCGTGACCGGCCTGGGTCAGAGGCCGCTGACCCCTGGCCCGCCCCGCCGCTGGTCGCCGCCGGCCGATAAGGCGATCAATGGGCGAGATCAAAGGCGTCGGTAACGTGAGATCGGACCGCGGGGTTCGGCCTTGTGCCGCGCCAGGCCGCGGCGCCCATAGCGCGCCCCCAGTGCGGTAAATCCGAGCAGGCTGGCGCGGGGGTCAGGCTGGCACGGGGGTCACCAAGGATCGCTGGCATCGCGGTTGAGTCAGGCACCCGCCGTGCCTGGCCAGAAGCGTATTGCCGTGGAGCGTCGTGCGTTTCCGAACGAATAACGTCCCCCAATCAAGTGTTGATGACGTGCTCATGGGAGGTTCGCTTCGCGCTTAAGTCGTATGAGCGCAGTTCGGCGCCTTCAGCAGTGCCTGCACGTTTAAAATAGCCCGCGTGATGATGACGTAGTGACTCAATTACAGGTCTGCCGTGCCAGCGATCTCAGCAGTTCGGATGCCTACGAGGATACCTATCACCTACCAGGCACTCAGTGGAACACGGCAGTTGTTTTGGAAGGGCTTGGGCCCGTGTAAAATTTATCTACTCTGGCATGATTATTTTAAAAGAGTAAGGCAAGATAAGAAGTAAGTTCCTATTTATGAAACGTTCGCTGCCGCTTTCCTCCAGGGCCGCGGATACGTCTCTGAGCCTCTCCTCTCGGAAAAGTATTTGTGTTCACATCTCATGTCGATGAGAGTTTTGGTAACAAGAAATTATACCATCATTATCTACCCGATCTTAAACCAGCCCGCAGCTCAAGGGTAGCTTTGCCGCTGTAAAAAAAATGCATCGCCCTGATTTGGGTCACCATGTTGTGCATTGTGGGGGTGATTCGTGAACGGAGCAGGCACTATAAAAGCATGTTTCATGAGTTGCTGAAATCGTTATCATTATATGTAGTGCATACTCTGCAGCGCTTGAGGAACGGCGTTCCATGCAATATCGTCCAGCCGGGAAAGCCGCTCGTAATCAGCGTCTTGGAACGCTTTCTTCTTAAAGAGACTCGCGTAATCATGTAACCGATCATTCACCTGTCTACAGGTAGTCCAAGAGGGAGGGGGGGGGGGGGTAAGTCTGCTTGTAAAGTATCATTTTCCTCTCCAGTTCTGATTTTACATGCTCTTGGGTCATTCATCTATGCTTGTGGCTTTCCAGCTGCCCGAAGGCTCAAAATCGGCAGATCTTTTGCATGCTGTGTTAAGACCTGCATTCATTTGGCCAGTTTTGGGCCCCTTTCGGAGACCTGCCAAACTCTTCGGGGACCTGCCCTTGGACCCCAGAGGAGAGCAGTGACCATTTCCCTCTCCCTTAGATCCGCCTCTGCTATAACTATTGGCCCTTTCCGTTTAGCGGTGGCTGCCAGTCCGGTTCCACCGCTTCCAAGCACTTTTCAGAACATTAGAAAGACTGTTAAGACAACATCGATAGCAAGAAAATGTGATAACACAGACGTTGCACATGTGCCTGGGTCTTGCCTCCCATGAAGGAAGTGGCAGGAGGAAATCGTTCAGCAGATGGCACTAAATGACAGCAAAATGTTAAATCGTAAAGCCCATGATCCACAGACGATAGATCAGATATTCTGCCCATAGAATATTTACATCGGTCCAGATGCCGCATGCTCAAACTTAAACCTTAATGGGGTGCGTACTCCTGCCGTTAATGAGCATCCTAGCTGGTTTGTTCTATGGTAACGAACAGCGCTGGTGGAGGGGTACCGGAGGTGTAGTGGCTAAGCTACGCATCTGGGAAACCAAAGGTACGGGGTTGGATGCTCCGCAATGCCCGCCTTTCCTGTCAGGATGGGAGGCAGGCGGCGCCATGCACCCTCAGCACCTGAGTGCGTCGTAAAGATGATTTTCCATTAGTCAAACAGCCGTTCGCCTAATTGGAATATCGACGAAGTGCACTCAGTTTATTCACCAGATAGATAGATAGATAGATAGGGGTAAGATCGTCCATTCGACTGGTTGCTATTTCCCAAAATTCGGTTTGGGCATATTGTCATTCGCTGCTGAAGATTTCAGCTAATTAGTTCCCGGCTAATCACTTTTTCGACTTATTTTCTTTTCAACAGTTTACACGCCATCAAAAAGACATCGCCAATTTTCAATTTGCTTTCGGTTACACAACATTCGGTTGAGCGCCATCCGGTCTTTCGGAGCCCTCAGACCCAGTGTGTCGCTCCTTCCCCGGTCTGTGTTTGGAGTGACACGCTGTCAGTTCGGTAAGGCGCAACTTTAGGTGTACCGGTGCGGTCGCCCGTCCTTAGACAGGCCGAGCGCCTGCAGCAAGCGGCAGATGTTTATTTGCTTCTCTGCAAGCCACGTGGCGCAATGGTACCGGTACTTGACAAATGTCCAGCTCACTTGAAAACTGGAAAAGTACCGCACGAAGAGTGGTTTAGAAGAGACGAAACCACAACATTTTGGCTTTGAATCGTAGCTTTTTATCTGAGGCCGTCGTTCTTCAAGGATTGCCCTTGTCCCGATAGAGGGAAGGGGGATGCGAACCCCCCACGATCCACGGCCGGCACGGGCAGCGGGCGGCGGGTGGTGACCGATGATTCCGCCTATTGCTGGCGGCGGGGATGTCACTGCTACAAGAGGCCTACATAATATGTATATATGGTCAAAACTACTCATCATGATGCTCAGAATTAAACAAGAAACACCATATTGCTAACTGGCATATTCAGTAATTATTGGCATGTAAAGCCAATACTTACTTTTTGGAAAATTTTCAGACCGATTTTCAGGAAAAATCGCCATTGACCTGAACTTCTGGAGTCAGTCCTAAACCAAGCAAGATAGAAGTAATAACCTTATTCCTCGGGACAACACCAGGAGAATGGAAATATAGATGCGTTCATATCCGGCAACATGACTTTATCGAAACGAAAAGCGGAAGTAAATTCAAAATTGCCTGCCAATTACCCTACTTAATTTTGCGTTTTTTTAACAGCGAGCCACGGTTTTTACCAGGTACCAACATTCGGGGGATTAAACAAGGAGTAATTGCCAGCCATTACTACGATACAGTGCAATCTACCTAAGAATAGGAGTACAAGAAAATGCGTGTACATGCAAACGAATTCAAGTTAACAGGCATCACGCATCATTCAAACGTGCGGGCGAGTTGAAGTAAACAGGCATCACACATCACGCATCAATTACACATGCAAGCGATTACAATTAAACAGCTATCGCACATCATGCGTCAGACATCCCTTACTCATGTAGGCGATTTGGAACTTTCACACATTACGCATCAAGGCACATATCACGTCCGCTGTTTTGTTTTTAGCGTTTTTAACGCTGAAAATTAAACAGGGAATACCCC